TTGGGTGTCAGACAGGTGGACCTCGGCTTAAAGAGCAGGCCTTTCACTTACTTGCTGAGTGTCCTCATCTATAATATGTGAATAATAAATGGTAGAGGTTAATGTGTCTAGCAGATACTTACTAAATAGTGCCTATTATATTATTTTCCTCATTACTGTTCCTGGAGTATAATTCAAAAGAAATTGTACATAAACACACAGATGACCTGATTCACTGGGGAACATAAAACAATGATATTAACAAAGCAGCACCTCTTATCTTGAAAATATACCATAGAGGGATAGTGAAACCAAAAAGCATGAAGCTAGTCCTCTTTTGTTCTGCTACCATTTTTAATCATATATTGGATGTTAGGAATGCAGGAGATAAAATACAAATTTAAAAAAAAAACTGAAGAATTAAAAGACTTCTATTGCAGAGGAAATCTTAGTTTTAAAACAAATCACTAACTATTTTTTCAATGTATTACTTGATTATTTATGAAGTCAACATCTCTGGGAAAGAAAAGTAGATTGTCAGTCAGAAAAATAAGTTGGGAGCAAGAAAGACTGTAATCAAATAAAGAGTTTCCATAGCCACTTATTTTAAGATTTCGTAAATCAAATATCAGTATAACTATACTTCAGGTCAAGATGGCAGAGTAGGTAGATGCTGTGTTCACTTCCTCCCATGACTTCATCAAAATTACAATTAAATTATAAAACAATTACCCTGGAGAACCATCTGAAGACTAGCTAAATGGAACTCCTATAACTAAGGATATAAAGAAGAGGCAATATCAAGACTGATAGGAGAGGCTGAGATGCAAAATGGCTGGTCCCAATTATCAACTCATGTGGCAGTTGAGAATTGGGAGAAATATTTCTGCTGTCAAGGTAACCTCTGAGGAATGAGAAGTCCCAGCATTACACCAGGCTCCCCAGCTCAGTGCTGGGAAGAGGAGACCCCACATTTGGCTGTGAAAATCAGCAAAACTATCCAGGTGAGAGGGAGGGCTACTGTAGACCCAGGTGTCCTCTTAAAGAGCTCAAGCACAGACTCACTTGCTCACAAACACTCGCTCTAAGCTCCAGTCTAGGGATAGCAGCTTGAAAAACACCAAGAACATGTGGGGAGAAACTGAATTGTGTCGCTTCAGAATGAGGGCTGTGAGGGCAGCCACCATTGTTCTTGTGTTGACCCTTCCTCCAATACAGCCTGAAGGTATAGGCAGGCAGAAACCAAGTCTGAACCTGCATTATCTTGGTGAACACCACTTGCCCCACCCTGGTGACTCCCTGAGACCCCACCCTACCTAACTCGCATACTCTCCAAGCCTCTTTTAGTTACCGTTCCCCATAGGCAGCTGGCCTCAGCCCTTGCTGAAGACTTTCCTTAAAATTCTCAAAGATCCAGGGGCCCCAGATAGGCAGCGGCTGACCTCAGCATGCCAATCTCTTCTGAGCCTTTTGCTGAGTGGCCCCAGTCCCAGTACTAGTGGCAGCCCACTTCGGTTCATAGCGTTGCCTTTCGCACATGCCTCTAGGATCAACACAAGCAGCTACCCACCTCAAATCACTTTCTGCTCTAGCCAGAGGATCCTGAGTAGGACACAGATTGTGGCAGACCTAGGTCAGCACGAGAGACATTCCCAAGAGTCCCCAGAACCAAGGCACCCAATGGCCAGTTTCAGACCACAATGGAGCACCATCTGATTAGTTCCACAAATGGCACACCAAAAGGGTTGACTCGGCAGGCACCAGAGCCCCACTAAGGTAAATTCTGCTCTATGGGGTTAGCTCCCCTTCACAGCAGCTCTTCTACAGTGGTCCTGACCAGTCATTACAGCCAGTCAAGGTTCAACTACAACAAGCGGTCATATACAATCCACATAATTCACAGTCCTAGAACATCCGGCTCAGGTGACCAGGAAAGACTGTGCCCCTGGGCCCCACAGGACACCTACTATATAAGGCCACCCTGCCAAGACTGGGAGACATAGCAGATCTACCTAATACATAGAGGAAAAAAAAAAAAAACACAGGGAGGCAGCCAAAATGAGAAAACAAAGAAAAATTTTCCAAATGAAAGAACAGGTGAAAACTCCAGCAAAAGAACTAAACAAAATGGAAGTACACAATCTACCAGATGCAGAGGTCAAAACAATGGTTTAAGGATGCTTAATGAATTTAGGGGAAGAATAGATGAACTCAGTGAGGACTTCACAAAGACCTAGTGAGCATAAAAAAAGGACATAGAAACCAAAAAAAAAAAAAAAAAGAATCAATCAGAAATGAAGAATACAATAACTGAAGTGAAGAATACACTAAAAGGAATCAACAAAAGACTAGATGGAACAGAGGATTAAATCAGTGACTTGGAAGACACAGTAGCAGAAAACACCCAATCAGAATAGCAAAAAGAAAAAAATAATTTTAAAAATGAGGATTGTTCAAGGGACCTCTGGGACATGAAGCATGCCAATATCCACATCATAGAGGCACTGCCAGGGGAAGAGAGAGAGCAAGAAATTGAACACCTATTTGGAGAAATAATAATGAAAAACTTTTCTAACCTGGTGAAGAAAATAGACATATATGTCCAGGAAGCATAGAGGGTCCCAAACAAAATGAAACCAAACAGGCTCACAAGATATATCATAAATAATTAAAATTCCAAAGGTTAAAGACATAGAATCCTAAAATCAGCAAGAGAAACGTAATTAGTTACTTACAATGGAGCGCCTATAAGAGTGTCAGCTGATTTCTCAACAGAAACTTTGCAGGCCAGAAGAGATTGGCTTGAAATAGTCAAAGTGATTAAAAGCAAGGACCTACAACCAAAACGCCTCTATTCAGCAAGGCTATCATTCGGAATCAAAGGAAAAATAAAAAGCTCACAGGCAAGAAAAAGCTAAACAAATTTATCACCACCATATCAGTCTTATAAGAAATGTTAAAGGAACTTTTTAAAGAAGAAGGAACCAAAAAAAAAGAACATAAATATGAATAATAAAATGGCAATAACTATATACTATCAATAATCATTTTAAATTTAAATAGATTAAATGTGCCAATCAAAAGACATAGGATGGCTGAATTAATAAGAAAACAAGACCCTTACATATGCTGTCTACAAGAGACTTCAGATCACCACACACACACACATACTGAAAGTAAAGGGATGAAAAAAGATATTTCATGCAAATAAAAAAGGAAAAAAAAGCTGAGGTAGCAATATTTATATCAGACAAAATAGACTTTAAAACAAAGTCTATAACAAAGGACAAAGATAGTTCATAATGATACACTTTGTACACTTAATCTTTTTGAATATTGTTAAAGTGCCTCATTTGAAGTATTACTGGAGATAATAGTAAACAGTTTTTTGAGACTATACTTGAAAATTAAAAAACCCAATGACAGTAATTTTATATTTGTAAAGGACTGGGCATCACATTTATATCATTTATGTGAATTTTCAACAACTCAGTTGGTTGCATTATACAAACATTCCTTAACTGTTCAAATTGTAAATGGTGAAAAATGAACGTTAATGAATGTTTCACTATGAGAAGTTTTACAAAGAAACATTGATAGTGACATTATTTAAATTTAAAAATGATTGCATAAGATACTGGAATTCAGATTAAAGAAAGAATAAAGTTATTTTTTCTCTAATTTTCTCTTGTTTTTTGGGGAGAAGAAAAAGTCATATCTCTCCTGTAAAAGACTGGCAAAATTTATGAACCTTGTTCAACATTGCGATGGCACGCTGTTTGAAATTCACAGGCTTGAACAAATGGATAAATATTCATCACTTCTGTTTTTCTCTTTTTTCTAGGTGCCTCCCATACTCCTTGACAAGCAGTTCTCTGAATTTACTCCGGACATTACACCAATCATTTTGGCAGCTCACACTAATAATTATGAGATAATAAAACTTTTAGTTCAGAAAGGAGTCTCAGTGCCCAGACCCCATGAGGTCCGCTGTAACTGCGTTGAATGCGTCTCCAGTTCAGATGTGGATAGCCTCCGCCACTCACGCTCCAGACTCAACATTTACAAGGCCTTGGCCAGCCCCTCTCTCATTGCACTATCAAGCGAAGATCCTTTTCTCACAGCTTTTCAGTTAAGTTGGGAGCTTCAGGAATTGAGCAAGGTGGAAAATGAATTCAAGTCAGAGTATGAGGAGCTGTCACGACAGTGTAAACAATTTGCTAAGGACCTACTGGATCAGACAAGAAGTTCTAGAGAACTAGAAATTATTCTTAATTATCGAGATGACAATAGTCTCATAGAAGAACAAAGTGGAAATGACCTTGCAAGACTAAAATTGGCGATTAAGTACCGTCAGAAAGAGGTGAGTGTTGCCAGACTTTATCCATAAAAATGCTATAGCATTTAATCATAGTGCAGTAAACTGGTACTCCAAAATTAGGTTTAGATTTTAAAGCATTTTCTTTTTAACTATAAGCAGATGATATTTATTGCTTGATATTTATTAGCCATATTAATTATTTTGAAATACTTTGAAAGTGGTAATAAGTGGTTTAATAATTGGTGGTGGTTTTGGTATCTCTGTTAAAATGGACATATTTACTTTGACATAATGAAAAAACTAATAGATTTTTAGAATCTCCAGACAGAGTTCTGGTACTCTCATTTATGTCTTGTTACTATAGAGGGTCACTAAGATCTCTGTGAGTTTCAGTTTTCTCCTGTGCTTAATGGATTTAATATTTATAACATTTGATTATATACCTATATTTATTTATACATATAAAATATTTCCCTCGCAGATTTGTAGAAAGGGTAAACTGTATGGATGTGTATGAAGGCTCTTAATGAATTTTAAGGTATTACATTAATAAAATACATTAGGAATTATTAATAAAGTAAAAGACTTTAGTCCAAGAGCAGATAAAAATATTAGAACTTCTCTCATGTCTGGCTTAGTCTCTTGATTTATTAGTTTTAAGAAGTTAAGGAAGTTAATAACAAGAGAGTAATAAATTTCTCATGAAAATTCATGGATTTGAAGCATGAAATAAGGAAATTCAAATCTATTACGCTTATCCAGCAGAGTTGTGTTTTTGTTTCCATTGCTGTTTGATTGGAGTGAGTACTCAAAAAACTGTTTACTTTTATCTCCAGAAAATATTGGTTCTCTGATCATTCTTGAATTATAGTAATTATTAATTCCAGAACAACAATTGAGGGAGAAAAAAACTATATGAGATTAAAAAAAAAAAAAGAAGAAGAAGAAGAAAATTAGACTGAATAAGAGAATGTATTCAATTTCTTTTGAACTTGGCCCTGATTATTTCTCATTAGCCCTGTCTGCTTTGTCTATTGTTACTTACTAAATATTTAAGATTCAAGATACCTAAATTTGTTTCCTCACGTTTTTCCTATACTTCTTTGGCCAGTTGTCACGGGAGACTGAAATTAGTTGAAAGAAGATTTTCTCCTAACAAGGAAGAAAACACCTTCTTTTGTGTTTATTGTCACTGATTCTAAAATCACCCACTCTAGTTTGAGCCATGTCAACAGTATCAACTTCACTGATTAGAGATTCTAAAGTACAAAATATGAAAATTAAAAGCAATTATATGTATTAGCACTGATAAAATTATGTAGGATATTGACATGGCCTCAGAATTTCGGCCTGGCCTTAAATATCTATTATTAACATAATATTACACTTTTATTTATTTAGTTTTCTTTGGGGATGAGGATGTAAGGGATTGACACAATGATTACAAAGTCTTCTCTTATGATATTCTCCTGTGAATGGAGAGTAGAATAAAATTCCCAAGATATATTGCATGATATTTTTAGGTACTAAATTAAA